GGGGGGAGCTGATATCAAGGGCCCAATAGAAAGTAAATGTCTAGAAAAGAATGATGGCAGCTCATGTGCACATCTGCCTGATAAAATCGATGCACGGATTGTAATAAGAGTTGCAAGAACCCGATGAAATGATCTTTTAATTAAAAAAGAAAATGACGAGAGCAGTCTTAGAGGCGCACACAGAGAATTAACATTTCGCCTGTCGTGAATTCTCAGTTCCCTGCTGCTCAGCAAGAGACACGACAGCCTGTCTTTTGCTTGTCGCTGTGGTCCCTGACTTCCGTCAGACACCCCAGAGCTGTCTCCAACCACAGTGTGCAGCAGGCACGCTTGCCCGGTGCCTGATTGTGATAAGGCAGGCTCCGTGTGCTCTGCCACCTCTGTCCCACCAGGCACTTGGCTTCCTGACAGAAAATCCAATGGACAGCTCTCTGCCTTAAGGAAGAAGGCCCCCACTGTGACCACACGCGGACTTGCAGGGCGCAGAAACCACCCCGTGCCCACAAGAGGCACTGCTCCAAACACCTGGCTCACCGCCGTCTCCCTGTAGGCATAGACACTGCCACTCTCTGCAGGAGCACAAAGCCTCATTCTCGTCTCACAGAGCTGCTGCTGGTTTTGAACTGCTGACATTGGCGGGTGGCCTAACTCCTAACCACTATACCAGCAGGGCTCCTAGGGGAGGGCCTACATGGGGGAAAGAATAAAAACCAGGCGTTGCTGCTTCCAGGGGCCAGTGAGTGGGTGTGGCTGGGCGGTGGCCTTGCTGACCAGAGGACCCACCAGGGGTCTGCTTCCAAGCCCTGGTGGCCCAGTGACTACCCAGTGGGCTGCTCATCACAAGGTCAGCAGTTCAAAACCACTCGTTTTCAGGAGAAAAATAAGGCCATCTACTCCTATAAAGATGGACACTCAGACACCCAGGAGCAGCTGGTCCCTGCCCAGCAGGCTCGCTGTGAGTCGGCCTCTCCTCCAGGGCAGGGAGCCCTCTCCTCCTGCCCTGAGCCTGTGCAGGGGACATTCCTACCACCTTTCCCAGTTCAAGGACAAACCTCCCGAGATGCGCTACAGGACTGCTTCTCCGGCACGCCCGCAACACATAGCCCATGACCGTGGCTTTCAGAGTGCTCGGTGTTCCTGCTTGTTCTGAGAGAGACGGACGGGCCGAGGACAGGAGAGACACTGGGGCAGCAGAAGGCGGCAAGAGCAAGCCTCTGGGTAGGCCAGACTGATGATTTCATCAATAATGCTGTACAGTCCACCAAGGACTCTCCTGTTGTCATGGTAACCACAAACCATAATCACTACTCAGGACAGCAGCTGCCAAGGCCACCACTTCCTAGGGGGGCACAACTAGGTGATCTGATCGGGCTCCCTGGCCAGGCAGGCCCTCCTACCGCTGCCAACAAAGCTAGGAGCTTAACTAGGACACCCACAGGTCACCAGGCCCCGTGGGGCCACAGCACTGGCCTCCATTCTGGCAGTGAGACGTTACCAAACGGCCTGCATAGGAAATGGAACGGGAACGTCACGCAAAACGCAGGGCTTAAGGAACAAGAGGTTCAACCAGAAGAAATGAAGGCAAAGAAAGCTCCCGCTCACCTGCTCCAGCGAAATACAAACTCAGCAGTGCCAACAAGCACCCCACCCCCAACCCCCTCGCCCCTGAACAAGCACTGGTGCGCCCAGGTGGTGCGCATGGGCCAGGCAGGCCGCCTGCAGAGGCCTCGACAGGCAAGGCCGCGCAGCACACTGACCACCAGCACGAGTTCGATGGGGCCTCACCCTGCTGAGATCTGAGTCGTCCCTCTTGTCACTCTTCTTCCCGGGCAGCGGCGAGGGCATGGGGTACTCTTCGTTCTCGCTGTGGTCCATTTCCGAGCTGTCGAGCCTGCTGGCACAAAGCTGTGTAACTGGGCCA